CAAGACAGAAAATGAATGTTCATTCTGCTCTAAAGACATTTAAAATCTTATGCTAAAGATAGGGATTTCTACCTTTCCAGAAGCTGTTTGATTACAACTCCCATTGATCTCAACCACTGGCAATGCTGGCTGGAGTTGATGGATACTGGAGTAGCTGAAAAGCTATCACTTTGGTTCTCCACCTCATGTGTGTACAGATAGTCCCCGACTTATGACCATAATTGAGCCCAACATTTATGTTGCTAAGTGAGACATTTGTTAAGTGAGTTTTGCCCCATTTTACGACCTTTCTTGCCACAGTCATTAAGTGAATCATTGCACAGTTCTTCAGCTAGTAACATGGTTGTTAAACGAATCTGGCTTCCCCACTTACTTTACTTGTCAGAAGGTTGCAAAAGCTAATCATTGACTCCAGGACTCTGCAATCATCATGAATATGAACTAGCTGCCAAACATCCGAATTTTGATCACATGACCAAGGGGATGCTGCAATGGTTGTACGTGTGAAAAACGGTTGTAAGTCATTTTTTTCAGTGCCATTGTAACTTTGAACAGTCACTAAATGAACTGTTGTAAGTCAAGGACTACCTGTATAGTACCATAATGACTAGACTGAACCCTGATATTATATTTCCTAACTACAGTAGCCTGCTCCCTAGTTTCCACACACAATGGGAATTTTTGGTTTTATATATATATATCCGCCCACCCACTGGCCCCTACCCTTTGGCTTCTGCCACCCAGCAATTTACCTCCTTGCAGCAAGCAGCAAGAAGAAACAGCCCATTTCAGCTTCAGCACAGCCTAATTAGCACAAGTTGATTGTCCATTGGATCGGCCTCCCAACTCTCAGCTGTTTCAGGCTGCAGGGATTGCCATTGCCTATTGCTGCGCAGGCCTTTGCTGCTTGCTGCAAGGAGGTAAATTGCTGGGAACAGATTTTTTTTTTCTTGTGCTAATCAAGCCATGCTGAAAACAAAAATGAAAGTAAAGCAGGCTATTTGCTGTTTGTTGCAACAAGGCAAAATTGCTGGGAGGCACAGGCAGCGGCCGATTTCTTTTTCTTGTTTTCCTCACCAAAAAAGGTAGGTGCATCTTATAGTCCGGAGTGTCTTATACTCCAAAAAATATGGTATATATAAAAATTTTGGATATTACAGATCTACATTTAGTAAATTTTGCATGTAAGGGACAGAATTTTAGATAGATCAAATGAAGGGCAGAATCTCCAACACAATCTGACTAAATAATGACGTCTATATATCTATTTGTATCCTACTTTATTATTTTTACAAATAACTCAAGGGGGTGAACAAAGCTAATACTACTTCCTACTCCTCTTTTCTCCACAACAACAACTCTGTGAAGCGGGTTGGTGTGTGTGTGTGAGAGAGAGAGTGACTGGCCAAAATCATCCAGTTGGCTTTCATGGCCAAGGCGGCATTTGAATTCTCCTGCTTTCTAGGCAGGTGCCTTAACCACTAGGCCAAAGTTTATATCATTTGCATACATTTATTTCATTTGTGTTTTGCAAATAAATACATGTGTGCGAATATGGTAAATCTGGGGAATGTACCTTTCTCCCAGTTGATCCATATAAGTGAAGCTTTACATTTGGGGTACGAAATACGTAGTTGATCCAGAAAAAATTTTATTAATAGGAATGGCTCTGCTTCTTCCTACACATTCACAGGCATGGTAGCATAATTCATCCTGTAGCTGTATGTGCCTCATATTAGTTCGTGTAATCTAAAATTGAAAGATTTGTAACTACAGAATAGACTGCCTCTGAAGTGGGAATATCCCACTTCATATATCCGCCTTCTAAAGAAAAAGAAGTAGATATATAATTTAGGACAAAATAATCTTGTCCCAAATTGCACATCTTAGTATTACATTTAGTCTGTCTCTGACTCACTTTTACTACAAAAAGAAGAATTGAAATTGATTTTTACGGAAGCATAAAATGATATGAAACTGGGTTATATTTCTGCTAGCATTTTATCAATAACAATAGCATTTAGACATATACCGTACCACCCTGTACCATTCTCTGGGGAGTTAACAATGTAAACTTTATTTGCATATTGCCCTCAATAATCTGAGTCCTCATTTTACTGACCTCAGAAGAATGGAAGGCTCAACCTTGAGCCCCATCAGGATTGAATTCCAGGCAGGCTCTGAGTACAGTTTGCCTGCAATACTGTACTTTAACCTCTGCACCACTGGGGCTCAATATATGGAAGGGATAGTCAGGAATATATAACCTGGCCTGTTCTTAGTCTGTACTACTCAGACAAGTATGATGAGATGTGGGTTAAGAGATTTTAAAAGGGTGCTAGTCAAGGGTGGGTTCTACTTATCTTTACTACCGGTTCGCAATGGGGCTCGGTTTGGTCTCGTGCGCGTGCTCTTCTGCGCATGCACAGAAGCATTTTGATGATGTTGGGGTCAGTGGGCGGAGCCTTCTGCTGGTTTTACTACCGGTTCTATAGAACCGGTGCGAACCGGAGGCAATCCACCATTGGTGTTAGTGGTTACTTAAGCCAGATATGTCCATCTTCTCCAGAGAATGAGGTTGAGCAGGAAATGAAAGCTAGGATCTTGAATGTCAGCCTTGCAGGGTAGTCCAGACAGGAAGCATGCCCAGATGAACTAAATATACTTTATATTTACTTTACAGAATCTTGTACATCTGAAAGTACATTTCTCTCCCCCACCTCCTTTACAGCACAAGAAACTTGGGAGGGTCCCTTCTGAGGCGTTTGCCATACCCACATTCCTGTTCTGGGCTAAGCTGCCTTTTATCAGACTGTTTCCCTGGCTGTGGCTCTTCTCACTGTCTCCTAAAATCATTTCCACATACCATTATGTTAAGTTGCATTTTTTTGACAAGGACTGTATTCAGCAGATTCAGTCCCTGTGACCCCTTTGGTCTGAGTTCCAATTTGTGATTGTGTCTCTAACTGCTGAGTACAGGAAGTCCTCGACTTACAACCACAATTGAGCCCCAAAATCATGTTGTTAAGTGAGCTTTGCCCCATTTTACGACTTTTCTTGCCACATTTGTTAGGTGAATCACTGCCGTTGTTAAATTATTAACCTGGTTGTTAAGTGAATCTGGTTTCCCCCATTGATTTTCCTTGTCAGAAGGTTGCAGAGGGGGAATCACATGACCCTGGGATACTACAACCGTCATAAATATGAGTCAGTTGCCAAACTTCCGAATGTTATTCATTTGATTGTGGGGATGCTGCAATGGTCATAAGTGGGGGAAATGGTCATAAGTAGTCGCTTTTTTCAGTGCCAATGTTGAATTGTTTGAATTGTCATTAAACAAACTGTTGTAAGTCGAGGACTATCTGTAAGTGGAGGAATTGTGGACTAAAGAGCAGAAAAGCACTGGGAATCAGAATCATAAAAAATCGCTACCACCAAGAAACTTTAGAGGACACTATCAAAAGGCTGAGATTCATCCATTTCATTCATACTGCATGCTGTTCAGAAGTTTTAGCCTTGAACTGGTTCCTTAGATAAGAAGAATTAAGATCATACTTCTAAAGTCATCTCTCTTCTATAAGATATATTATTTTGTGGCATTGGATCTGTAGAATTAATAGCCCTTTGGTTCTATTTCTGTGGGACTGATTTACTGGCACTTAACAGTGGCTGAATATCCTCTCTCTTGCTTTCTGTTTCCCTGAAGGTCAGAACAAAACCTTCAGGCAAGTATTTCTCTGCAAGTTTTAAAATGAAGAGCAGAAAAACCTGATCTACAAGCTTCTGTAGGAGCTACAGGGACTATAGACAGCATGCTAGATGATCGCATATGTTTGTCTATTCCTGTTTTGAAACATAAGTTATCACTAAACTAACCATTCTATATGTAATCATGTAACCACAATAGTACACGATGCAGAAGTTTCACTAGGTAGAACTGGGTATAGTCTTGGCCAAACAAAAATTGGACTTTGGTAACAAGATTTTTTTTTTTTCAGCAGAAGTGTTATCTGGAAGGGACACATGTGGATCCATTTTGCTGTTTTGTTTACTAAATACACAAAAACAAGGTTGTATTATTATTTTTTTCATGCAGAGAATTATAATACCCAGTGATAGCTTTGAGTGGGAACAAGTGCAGGAAAGGGTACGTGTGCTTGTGCGTGAGCATGCATGTATATGAATATATTCTGTCCTTCCCTTTTACAAAGCGGCTCTTTCAGAATTTCTGTGCAATCTCCCTTCGAAAATTGCAACCTTTCACCTTATGCCCAGCAAAGAGAGGTTGTGACATGTGCACACACCAGATGGGGGGCCCAAGGTAACAGAACTAGTCAGGATTCCTTATGAAAAGCACACTTACAGTACACCAGCTGTCTAATTGCAAGGTTGCACTTCATCTGTTAAGTCTGCCCAACTTGACAGAGAAATAAAAAGTCAAAGAAAAGCATGTATTGTTTCTCAGGCAAGTTCAAACTGGAGATGGATAAATAATTGCATTCATTTCTTTTTCAAAAGAAAACCGAAACCCCTAGCCAAGCATGCATGAAAGGAAGAAAAAAATATATCCACAATTCAGATAGTCCAATGACCCAATGAAAGATTTAGAAATCATCGTTACTATTTTACTGCTCATCAGTGAGGAATTTACTGCTCATCAGTGAGGAAATACAACAGAGTTTAACTGTTGTAATCTAGTTCTCTTGATTTATATCAAGAGGATATAAACCTTTATTTTTTTCATATGAATTGAGTCCTGAAAAGTCTGATCAGCATTTCTTAGATAAATATTATGTTATACAACAATTGTATGTCCGGACTGAAAAATGAAGAACATTTAGATATTTGAACCAGTGGAACAACTGCTTACCTACAACTAGTTAGTAGTATTTACTGGAAGGCTTGTCAATAATTCGAAGAACTTTTATTCACTGCTGAATTATAAAAACTAGGCCTAGTTATCTCCCAAAATGAGAAAGAGACACCAAATATAGCAAATATTATTTACTCAAGAGCACTTCTTCATTTATTCTGGCATTTCATCACTTGTTGCCTGACCCATACGTTGAATATTACAGGCAGGGCTCCATTAAACTAAAGCACAACTGTTTCTGGTCACGGTGAATTTAGCGATAAAAATTATACAACAAGTCTTCTAAAAGTTTCAGTTAATTTATTTGGTTCAAGTTTATGTTGACTGCTAAAATGTAAACCAGATCACAATTTATAATAGGCACAGTTTTAGCACAATTTTAAAACCCCAGAAACAAATATGACTCTTGTTCTGATGTCATGAGAATTCAAAAACAGACTTAAGAGAACTTGCAGAATGCTTCCATTCTAGTATCTTTGTACCCTGTTACCAGAATAAGGCATCATCCCTCAAGCAGATACCTGGGCAGCTCCCTCAGATTCTGTATCTCAAGATATACAGAAAGAGATCCTCTAAGAGATATCTGGAAAGGGTATAAATACAGATTACTAGGATATAAAAGCAGCAAATACGCAAAAGGAGCATTTGCTGGAAACCGAATATGAACTGTTTCAGGCACTAACTCCCTCATCCATTGGCAAAACTGTAGAACTATGGAAGTTAACTAAAGCTTTCAACTCAAACTTCACGGAGTCCCTGTTTTCAATTCTAAAGCAGAAAAATGTTGAACAGTTTCTGAAGTTTTACTTCGGAATTTTTGTGGTCTCCGATCACCCATTGTTTTTTCTTTCTCTGAAGCTACCTGACTATTAGCAAGAGCATTAGCTTGCCTCTGTTTCCACCATCCAACAGCTGCAAATATCAAAGCAGCCAGAACTACAAGTGCAAAAATAACTCCAAAAACAATTCCAACAATTTTGCCAGATCCAGATCCAGATCCAGATCCTGATCCCACTGTGGGAATTGTTTGTCTTTGGGTTGGAAACATTGGAATGAAAGTAGTCCCATCTACTTCTGGAGGAACAAGGGTAGGGGGAATTGGTGGGGGGCCAGGGGGTGGAAGAGGATCAATAGGAGGGACAGGAGGAACTGGTGTAGAGGGTCTAGTTGGTTTGGTAGTTGCTACAGTCTTGTCACAACGTGGAAGTGAAGGCTTCCATGTATTATCAGCACCGCATCTAACCCAAGAAGCCCCTACCAAAGTATAGCCAGGATTGCATTCAAGTGTTACTCTATCACCATATCTATAGTTAGGTTTATATAGAGTTGCCAATCTCCCGTTTCGGATGCTTGGTTTCACACAACTGACTTTTTTACATTCAGGTGGTGGTAGATTCCACTGTCCATTCGTACCATCAGCTGCAACTGTACAGGTAATTGTTGAATTTCCAATAAGAGAGTAATCAGCATCACACCGGTATACAACAGATGAGCCCACAACATATGTATCGCTAGGATCAGCATCATACCTTCCATTGGAAATTATATCAGGGCGAGCACAAGGAATCTGTTCACAGAATGGAAGGTCTCTGTGCCACCTAACTTCGCCTCCTCTTAGAACACATCGAAGGGTACTTTCACCTATCATTCTGAATCCATAATCGCACCTCAAGGTTGCTGTTTCACCAAGCCGGAGATCATCTGACAATTCTATTCTTCCATTTTCTAAATGGGGAACTGGACATCGCTTTCCTTGGCATAATTCAGTAATCTTTGTCCACGTTCCATCTGCAGAGCATGTCAGAGTAGAACGCGTTCCAGATACAACTTCATAACCTGAGATGCAAACTAATCGCAAATTAGTTCCAGTAGCATAGTTGTCTTTTAGGGGTTCTGAGCCTCTTAGTGAAGAATGGGGGGGTAAGGTTGGGGTTAAGCAATCGCAAAAAACAGTGGAAGACAGGAACAGCAGGATCAAGACGACTGTCGGGACCCCATTGGAACAAGAAGAAAGACCCATCGGAATACTTAGAGAATCTGGAGACACATCCTCTGCCCCTATAAGCAAAAATAGTTGAGGTTTGTGGAAGAATTGAAGCCGTTTGAATATTAACAAATGTTTTAAGCAAATATTTAGAAAGCACTACAAGCAAGTGGGTACATAATACCAGTTCTATATTACATTTGTGTTATAATATAAATATATAATGTATCTGCCACAGCTTCAGCTAGGTGTGACCAATTTTTTGGAATCTGCAAGTACAGTATAAATATTATATATATACCATACTATATTTATAATATATTTGCAGACTCCAAGAAACTGGTCACACCTAGCTGAAACTGTGGCAAATACATTTAGCAGACAAAGCTTAGCAATTTGGGTCTATTTTAAAATTTGGTCTTTTTATAATTTATACCCAATCATATTTGAAATCTTGCATTTTTAAAAATTTGTCATCTTTAGAAACTGCCCATCTCCCTCATAGAATGAATATACCGTTTCCTGTTGAATTGGGGTCTTGCCCATGGAATGTTACCAAACATGTTCATGTGTGCTTAACCTGGCTTTGCAAATCCATAATACATCTTGGAGAGCAAAGTCCTCTAGTGTCCCGCTTGCAGAGATGAGATGAATCGCATCTTGAGAAGGAAGAGAAAACTGGCAAGTTGCAAATGGGAGGGAACAACTGTTCTCTTACAGACTTTTCTCCAACAGATCCTAGAACAGTGATGGCAAACCTTTTAATTACCGAATGCCAAACAGGAACATGCTTTACGCCCTGCGTGCACTCGCGTGCCATCCGGGGTAACACGCGGCTCCTCCCCACGTGCTGCACGTGCAACTGCACCATCTCGCTTGCGCACAGCTTTTGCATGCGCAATGCATGTGCACAAATGCTGTCTGTGCATGCGTGCACAATCTCGCACACATGTGCAAACACACATGCATGCGCAGGAGAGATCCGAAGACCAACTGGGTCCCCTGAATTGCGCGCTTGTGCACCAGAGGCGCGTGCAATCGCAGTTTCAGGTGAGCTTGGCGACAGTTCGCGTGCCTGGAAAAATGGCTCTGAGTGCCACTTCCGGCATGCATGCCATAGGTTCGCCAACACGGTCCCAGAATATGAGGACCGAAAATGGAACACCACCACTTTTCTGCTACAGGGACATGAGCAGCTTTGCACTCAGTGTGGGACCTTCAAAAGTCCCAATGTACGGGGCTGGCATTTTGTGGCATGCCGTGCGTCACATTTGAGTTGACTCTTTCCAGTGAAACTTTGCAAAGGCATGCTCTTCTGGAGCTATGCAGCAGGTGGTGGCCCACAGGCAGGAACGCTTGCCACGTAACGTCCCCAAATCAGTGGCAGAAAATGACAAGAAAATGACAAGCACTGGTGGCCTTCCTCTTTCACGACATAATTCCCTTCTCAAGTTGCCTTTTCAGGATCTAGGCCTGGCCTGTTCTGGTTAGCTATGGTGGCTCTACATGCCTGTGAATTAACTGGGCCTACAAGGCTCCCTGTGAGCAATTTCTAGGGAAATCCTTCCCAAAGACCTCTTCACTTGTCCTGGTTTCTCCCAGGACACCTCCAACTGGAAGCCCTTTGTCCCAGGCCCACTACAACCTGTTGGTACACACCTGGATCCTCCAGGGTCCAGGTCTCTGACGGGCGTCAGTCACAACTCCACTTATGTTTCCTGCTGGGCAGCTTCTGGTCTCCAGGGCCTATACAGCAAAGACCAGCTGCTGCTGGACTATTTAGGCCTCTGCTTCCCTCCTGCTGGGCCTTTTCCCCAGCTCTGCACAGCAATACTAAAGCAGCACCAGGCAATCTTTTGGTAGTCAAGGCTGTGCTTAACAATCTTGTCAGGGGCGTGGAGTTGCAAAGTGGGCAGGATTATGTATGGCTGGTGTTAGAGTTTGAGCCTGATTTCATAGATTCTTCTCTTTTTAAAGGTGATTTTTAAAAAAAATATTATTGTGAAAATGGCTGAGTTTGCAGAAATGGCTAAATGGGTTCATTTGATCACAGAGGGAACTACAGTTACTTTGATAAAAGACTGGAAATCCTTTATGGTCTATTTTGCTGAAAGTGGATACAAATGAATTGCTGATTTAGGGGGTTGATTTTTAAAAAAAGTTTGTTTATGGGAAGAAGGGAACCATGGCAGAAGGTAGATGGTAATTGCTACGTTTGTGGTGCTGCAAAGATTGCAAGTCGCCTCTGTAAATATTCTTGCTCTTTTGTTATTCATCATTTCTTTTACCATGTTGTGATCTTTTCTATTTCTTCTTTGTTTCTGTGGTTTTATAACTTCATAAAATTTTCTTTTAGGTGATATTTCAGAGCTCAGGCTAGCATTTTCATTTATTTCGCATCTCAGGGGAAAATCAACCTGAGAGCAGGTCAATGAGGATGCACGAAGCATCAGTTGGGATGTAGAACTGGAGTGGAAAATGCTACTTAGCAGCTGCAAACCAGTGGAAGACGCTGCAATTGTTGTTACACAACTTTGTGAGGAAGTGAGCCAGGAAATGAAATTAACCGCTGTGGGATCTTTACAGGCCTACTATTTAACTGACAAGAACAGAAGTGTGAACTATTATATTTCAAATGCATCCTCAAGGTGATTGGAAAACTTGGCAGACCTCAGTGTGAATGCTGGAATGCAGGAAGGTTAGTTTGGAAGATGTTCATGGCTGACATTCTCGGGCTTTGCGAATGTAAATCAAAAAGCACAAAGAATCAGTGGGGACTGATCACATAATATGCTTCTCAGTCTACAGGATGTATTGTTGTCTGTGCATCAGTCTCAATTCCTATGAAGTTGGTGGAGAGCCTGGAGTGTTTTTATAGCTGCAGGCAAATCTAGGTCCCCAATCTAGCTTTCCAAACAATGATGAAAGGATCATCTTTCTGTTCCCTTTGTTCTCAGGAAAAGATATGGTTCTGTAAGGATATAAATGATGTATGAAATATAAAGAAAAGCCCCAAATGAACAGAGTAAAGAAAGCACTTAATGCTTTAATGTGTTATTTATCTATTTGTTAATTGGCACTGTCTTTAGACAAATTGCCTTTGTGAAGCAAAAACAAAACCTCAAGAGCCTAATAAATAATCCCTTATTTCACCCACATCTTTTCTTCTCAAGCAGATGCATGTTCTCTTTCCATCACACCAGATTTGCTTGTGTGTGTGTGTGTTTGTGTGTGCACGTGCGCGCGTGCGCGCCTTCTCGAGAGTCCCTTCTTTTTATCCATCTGACATATTTCTTCTTTGTTGATGTGGTAAAATGAAAAGCTGTGGGAGACACACAATCAGAGTGTTTTGTCTCTGGAGACGAAACATTGAGAGGAACTCCAGAACATTCTGTTCTTCCTGAATACAACACCAGGATGGCCCTCCTGGGGTGGTCCAGCAATTTTCCAGAAGTAAAGCTTTCCAGAAGAGGAAGTGGGTTTTGACATGAGCAATTACTTTCATGGCACACAAAATTCTTTCTCTTTGACTGGGTTTGCAAAACACACTAACCCGTGGTTAATTGAAACTATACTGTATTGAATGAATACAATTCCCTGAGTTCTTCATACAGCAAACAACTGAACACAGACTATAGTGAGCCACAAACTAACAAAGCACATCTCATCTTGATCTGGTATTACAAAGCCAGCACTGATTACAATATGAGAAGAAAGCAATAAAATTAGCCTCTCTAAACCTTGAGAAGTTCTCCATCCATGTCATTATTTTCCAGCACACAGGGAAAACCAATTACTGCCAAGTTGTTGGAAATACCATGAATTGAATCTCGGATCTTTTGCACAGAGAAAATGTCATCTAAGCTGTTCAGAGGATGAGAATGGTGTGATTTAGCTAGGTTACAATGTGAGGTGGGCCTGCCATAAGCTTGTAGAAATACCAAACTCATTGCACTGGGAAGCATGACTGGTGACATGGGTCTGGTGAAAAGCATGTCCAGTTAGTTGCAACTTCACATGAATGTATGGGATACAATGGTCCTTACATTCAAGGAACAAAAGTTGAGAGATAGCCCTGAAAAACCTACTGTTGACAGGAGATGGTGGTGGTGGTGGTGATGATGATGATGATAGGAGCAGTAGGATTTTGGTCTTAAACATTTGAAATGCCTTAATAAGTGTCTTAGACTGTTATGTTTCAAGAATAACTATTTTTATTCTTGAACTCTTTGATTCTAAATTACTTATGAGAGAACCGATTGAAGTAGTGGTTAAGGTGTCAGATTTAAGCAAGAAAATCATTTTAGCCTGTTTTGGGCACAAAGCCAGCTAGGTGATCTTAGGCCAGTCACTCACTTTCAGCCCTAGGAAACAGGCAATGGCAAGCCACTTCTGAAAAGCCTTGCCAAGAAAATTACAGGGACTTGTCAAGACAGTTGCTGTCAACATTGACTCAAAGGCACTGATAAATAAATAAATACTTACTGGTTTGATGATACCATTAAAATCCTGCCAAGCGATCCTCTTTCTAGATTCATCTCTTTCTGGGTCTCAGAGTCCTTTAAAAATATACTGCAAAATATTTGTAATAAGGCAAGAAATGAGGATTCAAGGCAGCATTTATAGAAGCAAAATTAATGAACAAAAATTATATAATATATATAATATAATAATTATATATAATTATATAATCAAAGTGGACTTTGTGGTTTTCACCTTCACTTCTGGAAGATGATTTGTAATTTGTACAAATTTAATAATTTGTAGAGAGCAGAGGAATAGTTTCCAATTTTCACACAGAATTTATTATTATTTTAGTGCAGTTTGTTGCCTTCAATTGAAACGAAGCTTCCTCACTCTGTCTGGGACTGTTAGCAGCTGCAGATGTCTTCCAGACCTGCAATGGGCTTTTTGTAAGCATGAGGAGGGACATTATATTTCTTTTGTTTCTCCTGTTTCAATTTCTCTTCATTTTCACTGAAGTGTCTCTTCAGTTCTTGATCCAGGGATGTGTAATTGGTCCTTGTTCAGTGTTTACATGAGACAGATGGAGCACATTGTACTGGGAATATGAGGAATTGCAGATGCGCCATTGAGCCTTTTTTTAAAACATAGAAATGGGGAAGGGGAACGTCTTCTTAATAAGCATTATTAATAAACTAAATTCATTCGGTGCATTCTCAATTTACTGTGACAAAAGGACTTGCTGTGCTTTGCGAGGATTCCGCCGTCACGTGATACCACAGAATGAATGGTGGCGTGACCTCACCCCATCTTTACACATTATGGTGTTAACATCATCGGAGCCTGCAACCACACTGCTGCTCCCTGTCCAATATGCATTGATAATGCACCAGTAAATATTTGAAAAATGATTATATTCTAAAGAAATGGGGTATAATAGCTGATCTACAAGCAGCTGCACATATGAAGCTTCCAGTCTTGCCTGTTTATTATGCATTATAATTATGATTATTTATATCAGCCTCATCATCCAAGTTTTTAGAAAAAAGGATTCCCAGAGCCAAACATGTATAATCAATAATTTCTTTAGAAAATATCCTTATCTGCAGACTTTGTCAGACCCCAGGAATCAAGAATGACATATGGAGTAGTGTCTGAGTAGTTTCCTTTAGTGTTCTTCACCTATTGTTCTGACCCAAGTCACGCAGGCAAGAGCAGGTGCTAGTATAGTATGTTTACTGCACAAATATACGTAAATCAAGCAGTTTTCCAAAGCAACATGACAGCCCACAAACTGTTCCACAGTTATACTAATAAAGCTCAGCCCCAATTTCCCCGAGGGCAGCCACCCACAATCAGCAAAAGCACAGTTCCAAGGACAAAGTTGATCTCCTCAAAGTAAGAGCAAAGTCCAAAGTTCACAAAGCAAGGGTCCAAAATCCACAAGGCAAGAGCAAGGTCTGAAATCTACAGGGCAGGATCCAAAGTCCACAAGAACAGGGTCTGAAGTCCACAAAACAAGGTCCAAAGTCCACAAAGCCAAAGCAAGATCCAACATCCAAAATGCAAGTTCCAAAATTCACAAAGGCAAAGAGAATGCATACATAGCAGACACAAATGGTGTCTCGACCAACACATCTTCCCTTGTGCCTGGCTAAATCACCCCAAATCAGGTGGGGTTTTTTTAGGAGGGGCAAGGCTGTTTCCTCACAAGTAGCCTTGCTGACCTCTTCTGTGCTTCCCTACACTCTGCTCTTTTCTCCCATGGATCAAATAGGGTGGCAGCTATTCCTCATCAGAAGCTGTCTATTGCTGCTCATCAGTGCTAACCATTGGCAGCTGATCCTTCCCCTCTTCTTCTAGTGCAAGCAGCTGACCATCCAATCAACTACTTCCTCCAAGGCCAAACTTGCCTGGAACTACGCCTTCCTCAGCCCCTGTGCTCTCAGGACACTCCTGGGGACTCATGTCATCCCCATCTAATGGCTCCAGTTCCTGTTCATCTTCCTCCTTTGAACCAACTTCCAACAGAGCCATCAGACCTATAGACAGAATCTTGCTAGACCAAAGCAGCTATTTGCATCACTGTAGATATACTCTGAGAACTGCTAGGAAGAAGCCGCTTTAACCCTCTTCCTGCTGACCAAACTTTCCAAGCTCTCCAAGCAGCCCTTCCTCCTGGGAATTCAGACTAATTCACCACAGACTTAGAATTTAAACCACCATACAAAAGAAGAAAAATGATAGGGAAGGGAAAACGGGAAAAAATCATTCCCTTCATTATTTTTTCTATAATAAATAGCTTGATATAATTCAGGCAAAAGACGAATCTAATGGATTGAATATTGGGGCA